TGAGCGCTGGGTTGTGAGGCTGTCCGCAGCCTCTGCAGTGCTGGTTCGATCCCCGGCCACTGGCGAGGGTACCACAAAAAACAAACAAACAAACAAAAAAAAAAAACCCACAAATTCTATAAATAATATACTTGCATTTTCTATTAGTCTCCATACGTTCGATCTCTTTAGTTTTCTGACTTACTAAACAAGTGATATAGTTGGACAAATAGCTATAATGTCTGCAACTGTTTTCTTTTTTCTTCCCTTCTTTTTCTTCTTTCTCCAGTTTTAATTCTATATGCATATGTATATGTATATGTACATATATACATATGTATATGTATATAAACAACTGCATTTTCACTCCTTTCTTAGCATACCAACTTATACTTCTTAAAAATTTTTGGAAGTTGCCCTAATGTTTGCAACCTACATTTATAACAAATCCAAGTCCACCTTCAAATAATACTTTATTATATCACTAGTAGCACAGAATATTGCCAATTTCATCCCTTGTAACACTGCTGTCTTAGTCTTTATTTCTCCTTTGCTTTTGAAGGAAAACTCAACTAAATGGAGAATTCTAGGTTGCTGGTGCTCATCTTTCAATAATTTGAATACTTCACTTCACGGTCTTCTTTGCATGATTTCTGACCCAAAGCCTGATGTAATTCTTAGCCTTATTTCTCAATATGTAAGGTTTTTTTCTTCTGACTTCTTTCACATTTTTCTCTTCATTTTAGGAATTCTGCAGTCTGAATATAACATGCCAATTTACAAATATTTATTCTTCTTGGTTTTCTCTGACATTCTTGAATCTATTACTTGGTGTCTGTTATTAATATGGAGAAATTCTCAACCATTATCATTTCAGAGGAGTCTTCTTTTTCTTTCATCTCCTTCTAGCATTCTCATTACATGAATGTTCAGTTTTTTGTAATTGTCCCAAATTCTGAAATACTCTGTTGTTTTCCCTTCTCCCCTCCATTCTTTTTTGACTTTGCATTTCAATTTGAGAAATTTCTACTGATATATATTCAAGCAAAATGATTCTTTCTTCAGCTATATCAGCTACGATGAGCTCACTGAAAGCATTTTTCCCCCCATTTCTATTACAGTGTTTTTTCTCATCTCTGGCATTTCACCTTAATTTTTTCTTAGGGTTTCCATCTCTCTGCTATCTGCATAATATCTGCATAATATCGCTCTGCTATCTTGCATAATATCTGCCCTTTCCATTGGCACCATTAATATATTAATCAGTTATTTTATTTTATTTTTTTAAAGATTTCTTTATTTATTTATACAAGAACCAGGGTACAGGCCAGATGTGCGGGAGAGTAAGAGGATTCACCAGAGACAGAGCGGGAACAGAACAGGCAGACTGACGAAATACACTGCCGAGGGGAGCAGCGGGTGACACAGGAGAGGTCTGCTCACCATGAAGGTTGCTCCGAGGCCAGCGGGGATCGAACTGGCACTGCAGAGGCTGAGAACAGCTTCACAGTGCTGCGCTCAACCACCTGCGCCATGAGGGAGGCCCTCCTCCCTTATTTCAATCATGGAGAAAGAGTGACCTAATTGTCTTCCCCTAGGTCACTTAAGACTTTTATAGAGTAGTTTCCTTGAGACTAGGTCTTTGTTATAGAGGACAGTATACTATGGTTTATTTCAAAATGGTTACTTTTTCTCTTTCCTCTGCATGAAAAAGGAGGAAATTTTTCTCTAATCTTTACTGTGATAGTCTGGTGTAAAACTCATCAAAGGGTAGGGGCCTCCCTAAGACTGCGTCTCTGATAGGTTTTAGCTCTTATACATGTCGACACCAATTCTCCAGCAATTTATCAATTACTGTTTAAATGTTCCTATGAATTACTGGCTCCACTAGCCTCTACTTTGATCATGGCTTTTGCTCACTATGATTCTCTGTAGTCTCATCTGTCCAATTTCCAGGGTGACAGTTTGCCTTGCAATCTCAATTCTCTGACAAATCTAAGTTACCGGTTTTCCGTTTGTTCAGTTTTTATCTTTTTTAAAGGATTTTGTTTTTTTTTTTTGTATGAGAAGTGGGGTATAGGCCAAAGATGCTGGGGAATGAGAGGACTCACCAGAGACAAAGTGGAGAGAAGAACAGGTGGATCTACTGAAATACACTGCTAAAGGGAGCAGTGGGGGAGAGAGGAGAGGTCTACTGTGCCATGTGGGTTAGTTTCCTGGCTGGGGATTGAACCCAGGTGGCTGTGGCGGTGACAGAGCTGACTCTTAACCCCTATGCTACCAGGGAGATCCCCTCAGTTTTTTTCTGGCTGTGAAGATGGAAGTGAGACTTTCAAGTTCTTTACACATCAAAATCAAAACCAGGAACCTGGTTACTCTAGAGTATCTCTTTTGATAAGCTAACTAGCAGCCTTTAGGAAAGTATAATGATGTCAAATATACATATGCTGCTTTACAGTCTACCAATTATTTTTCACATATACTATCTCATCTGGTCTCATGGATTCCTTCAGGAAAATTGCTAAGTCTCCTTGCAGTTAAGGTTTCTTACTTACAGGAAGTTTTCTTATCTGCAAGAGGAGCTATAATAAAACCTTTCTCATGGATTCACCATATAAATGACATGTCTTTGACTATATAAAGCACTTAAAATAGTGTCAGGCAAGAACTACATGCTATATTAAATGTAAGATACTGTCTAGTTTTACTTTCCCTATTTATAGATGAAGAAAGCAAAGTTTAGAAAAATTACACAAATTATTGAAGTACAAAGCTGAGAACAGTTTGATTTATGAGATCTTTGGAATCCAAATGTTGGATGTTTTCTTTTGCCACACCATAGCTTTCCCTCCCTGCACCCCCAACCTTTGTCCCTTTTATTTAAAAATGTCTAAGGAGTATTCAAGTATGCATGCCAGGTACTGCGCTAGCTGCTAAGAATTTAAAAAAATGAAAAATACACAGGCCCCACTTTCAGGGAGCTCATAGTCCACTAGGTGAAAAAGTTACAAGGCAGGTAACATACAACAATGTCCCAAGGCTAATGACAAGGAATTCTGAGACGACCACACACTAGGGAAGAAAAAGGGCTCTGTGAAGTCTTCCTGGATGAGCTGGCACTTGATTTCAATCTTGACAGACATACACTGTCCTGGGGAAAGCATTAGTATCATCTAGATTAGGGCAGTGATTTTCACATTTGACAGCTACCAGGATTGCTCACAGAAAAAGCAGATTGCTGAGTCCCATCCCAACTTCTGAGACCCAAGAATTTGCATATCTAACAAGTACCCTGTGGTAGAGAAAAACAAAGAATAATGGCTGATAAGAAATGAAACTGGAAGGAGTTAGAAGGCAGATTAAGGACATAATTCCTTGCTAAAAGAGACCAGGATTTATCCTAAAAGTTACTGGAAAGGGATAAATAAAAAGTTTTGGTTGGTTCGAATTCACTATGAAATAGGATGACTGTATTTGACTGCAACATGGAAAAGAGACAAGAGGAAGCAAACGAGGCCATATCATGGCAAGCAATGATGATGCTTGGATGAAGATGCATCACGGCTACAGAAGGGGAGAAAGCTGAAGAGACTGATGCTAAACATGTTATGTTAAAAATAAACATAGTAGCTGATTATCTAGAGAAGATGTAAGAAAGGAATACTGGGATACGGGATGGAGAGGGGGAGCAGCAGAGAGAACAAGGGGGGAGGAAAAATTTCAAAGATTCTTCAAATAACAGCAGGGTAAAGGTGGAACAGGCTCCTTTGAATGGGAAACAGCTGAGTTTGAGCATATCTGACAATGGAGAGGAAGGTAAGCATAACCATTAAAAGAGAAATAGGCAGGTATGGGAAAGCAAGGAAGTCACTCACAGGGCAAGTTTCCAACAGAGATCAGAGGTGATGTGGTCAAAGTCACCAATGGTTGCCTGGACTTTGAAGGTGGAAGTAGTCATTGATTTTTGGGTTTGCCAGGAAGGAGACATGGGAATGGGTGTGAATTTAGATTCATTTATAGACAAAGATGGTGGCGATTTCTTGATGAGGAAAAGAGGGAAGCCTGCATCTGTTCAGGTTGAAGGGCATCCAGGTTGTACAAACTGACCTCCAGTTCCACATATTATCCCAAGGAAGAACCGGAAGTTATCTGTGCTTAAGTTCGGATATGTTGGTGTTGTAAGAATGCTATTTTCTTCACTCAAATTGCATGACCAGTTTTAGTCTTCCTTATTTTATTCCTCCTTCAGCCATGCATCATGCTAGTCACGATCATAAAAATTCAAGCTAAAGTGAAAAAAGCTTTGTACAATATAATGTACTATTCATATGGTCAGAATTGTTATTAACACAATTCAAATGTGAATTTATTATAATCAGGCTATTGGTGTTTCAATACCTTTTGCAGAGCCTCTTCTGTCTTTTCAGGGTTTGTTTTCAGGGCTTGAGAAGCATCATACATAGGAATTGGCATGAATCTCAAAGTGTAGTTCCTAGGAAAAGGAGACAATAACAGATTTACCTAAAAATAATTTCCTACTGCCTTAATTCAGCTTGCATCTTTTTAAAATTCAAAAAGATAGTTGCCAGAGTATCTTAGAAAATTCCAGACTATCAAACCACCTTAGGCTTCAAGACTGCAAACCTGTTTTCTTTAGAGTCTGTGTGTGTAGCTCCACCCATGACCTCATCCATCCATTTGGTCCTACAAAGTCGACATAGCTTTAAGGAATATGACTAAGTGGTTTTCTTTTCAGCTTCCAATTTCATGAAGGATAGAATTGGGACTGCAAAGGTAGACTAAGAGAAAGCTGGTAAAAAACTCCAGCATCATCATGCTACCTGATTTTAATCACCAGTAGATCTGAATATACCCAGGTCACCATGTTCATGATGAGTAAAAGTCAGCTCTGAACTCGAAAATCAAAACTCAAAACACATATTTGTTTTCAAAGCAAGGACTCTGGCATCCACAGAAAGAGCCTATTCAGGCTCTGAGTTTTCATTTACTGACTTAGAGCCCGGATGTAGTCCCTCTGCATTCTCTACCACAAATTAAGCAGTCAAGTTTCCCACATTTGAGGAAACTGCAGGGGTCAGCACAAGCAGAGTGTAACATTTAAGCCTCACCCTGGGAAAAGCACCTTCCAGTTCAAGGCATCCATCCTGCCAGGTAAGTAATCTGGGTTCCTTTAAACAAACAAGTCCAAGATGAGGGATTATTTTCAGAAAAGCTGCTGGGACGGGCTCCTTGTCTGGCTAACCACCTTAACCTTTGTGGGTCCTTGCAGCTTTTATTCACAATCAGCCCCCGGGGCTCTAGACCCCAGATGAAGCAACTGTGAAGAACTGTGTATTACCTCACCATTGCTGACCAGCTGATGAGATGCAGATCAGTAGTTCCTTTGTGGCAAAGCACACAGAACTCTGAAACTATGTTCCTCCCTCCTTTGAACCTGACCTTGCTACAAAATTGCTAGGTGCCCACTTGACTCCAAATACCTGCTCCCCTACCCCAAATTTTAGCATGAACATCCTTTCTCTATCCCACCCAAATGCATCTATCCATTTCTATAAGACGACCCTCAGGAACAATGACTTTTGGGGTCATGTGCTGGGAATTGAGCCACTGGAACCTCATAGTCAGAAGTCTTTATGTCGACAAATGCAGCACTTGCAATGTCAAGCTTACGGATACTTAAGTGAATCTACTGGAAGAGCAACCTAATACTAAGTCATAAAACAAAGTACAAATAATGAAGAAATGATAAGGAAAATTAAAAAGTCATCTTAATAATAACCTGGATGGGTATTCCCTAATGGAGAAAATCTCCTTTCTCCAACCTAACATAAGGGTGGCTTAATGTAAAATAACCAGCAGTGAAAGACTATATTTCTATAGCTATATTTCTATAGCAGTGAAAGACTGTATTTCTATAGCTTCCATTCTTACCTTAGCTTTGATGGGTTTTGTTTGGTTTAAGAGGAGTCAGTCAACAGAAACAAAGAAACAACATGTCTTTTGGGACAATTTTGAAGGTTTGCTTTAGTCTTCTTTGCCCTCAACCAATTTTTTTCAAACGTCTATTTATTTAATCATACAAGAACGGGGGTAGAGGCCAGAGGAGTAGGAGGTGAGAGGATTTACCAGAGAGAGTGGAGAACAGAATAGGTAGATCAACTGAAACACACTGCTGAGGGGAGCAGCAGGCAAGACAGGAGAGGTCTGCTGCACTATGTGGGTTGCTCCCTGGCTGGGGATCAAACTCATGCCGCAGTGGCTGCGGTTTGCTTCATAGGTTATGTCTTAACCTCTGCGCCACCAGGGAGGCCCTGCCCTTAACCAATTTTGATGAAGCTGCAGACCAGCTACATCTGTTTAAAACAAATGTGGTGTTGAACCACCGGCATCTGGATGGAGCATAGTGGATGTAACAGGTTGTCCTTCGGGGGCACCCTACTATAGCCTGGACGTGGGGAGGATGGGGTGTGCATGTTCTCAGCTCTTTTTTTTAAAAAAAAATTATTTATTTATGCATACAAGATCTGGGCAACAGGCCATATGTGCAGGATGGTGAGAGAATTCACCAGCATCAGAGCGGGGAGCAGAACAGGCTGGTTGACTGAAATACACTGCTGAGGGGAGTAGTGGGCGAGACAGGAGAGGTCTGCTGCACCATGTGGGTATCTCCCCGGCTAACCAGGGATCGAACAAATGCTACAGAGGCTGCAGATAGCTTCACAGTGCTTTGCTAAAACCCTTACACCCAGGGAGGCCCATGTTTTCAGCTTCTCACACAGACCAGGCAGACCTCTCCTGCCTCACCCACAGCTACCCTCAAGAGTGTCTTCAGTCTGTCTGCCTATTCTGTTCCCCACTTTGTCTTAAAAAAAAAAGAACAGGGATATAAAACAATGGTCTTCATAAAAAAAAGTTTTAAAAATAAAATTTTAAAAAAAGGTCAGTAAGAACCAGATCTCTTGTATTTTTTTCCAGCCAACATGGTAGTATTATTTTCTTCTTTAGTTTACTGGGAGAGTAAACTCAATAATAACTGCAGATATCAGTCACTAAGATAATTAAGAAGGCCTTTTACATCAATGAGGCAAGTTAATCCTGGTTTGCCATTATCAACTTCACTTTCCTTTTCTGGGCCTCAGCTTTCTTCAACCTTGGTTTCAAAGTTGTCATAGTGGGCCAAAAATGCACTGAGTCATGACCCAGTGGAAACATATTGTGAAACCATAGGCAGCAAAGCTTGGCAACCCTGGAGTGTCCCCACAACCCCATGATCTCATTTTCAGGTACACCTTGGAGCTAGTGCAGGTTCGGTTCTAGTCCACTGCCACAAAATCAGCAACACAATAAAGGAAGTCACAGAGATTTTTTTGGTTCCCCAGTGCCTATAAAAGTTTTGTTTACATTATACTGTGCTTAATTATTAAGTGTACAATAGCATCAGGTCTAAAATAAAATGTGCATGACTTAATTAAAAAGTATTTTATTGCTAAAATGGGATAACTATCATCTGAGCTGCTGGAAAAATGTTGCCTGTGGACTTTTCAACACAAGATGGCCACCGTCATCAATCTGAAAAAGGCACAATAAATTGCAGCACAATAAAATGAGGTCAGCCTATAATCCTCAAGAAGGTGTTGTATCTTTGGCATTACAGGCTACTCTGCCTATATTTTACAAAAGAATACATTCACACCAGAAGAAAGTCAAAGTCTTCCCAGGCCTTGTGGCCGGTGAGCAGCAGATAAGCTTGGCCCTAGATTTCCTGATTCCCAATCTCTTGCTATTTCTGTTCCCCCGCAGGTAGCTCAGGGTCTTTTGTAATTTTCCAGAAAGAACTGCTAATTAAAACTTACTTTTCCAGAGCAACAGCTATGTCCTGGAAGCCTTGTGCAGTAATGTTGTTCTTGTCCCATATAACAGTCCTGTGTGAAAACCAGATCACATCAGTGAGCAGACTCTTAGGATTATAGGGAATGACTGAAGACACATCTCTAATAGCAGCCCCATCTATCTTTACTACAATGGCATGATGTGAGCAAGAAATAACTTTCATCTTTGTTTCAAACAAAGAAAGGATCAGTATTTCCCCCAATATTATATTCTTTTTTTTCAAAAAGATTTCTTTATTTATACAAGAGTGGGGGTACAAGCCAGAGGCATGGGAGGGTGAGAGAATTCACCAGAGACAGAGCAGGGAGCAGAACAGGCAGACGACCGAAAACACTGCTGAGGGGAGCAGTGGGCAAGACAGGAGAGGTCTGCCACACCATGTGGGTATCTCCCTGGCTGGCCAGAAATCAAACCTGTGCTGCAGAGGCTGAGGATAGCTTCACAGCACTGAGCTCAACACAATGCGCCACCAGGGAGGCCCCAGTATTATATTCTTAACACATCTACTGCTCAAATAGTACTGTTCTCTCGTACTACACAAGCAATGGCATACCCAATAACTTGCCATTAAGTCAGCTAATGTTTTCCTAGTCAGGGAATTCTAAAACCTGATTTCTGTGATATTCTCCTAATTGTGGTCTAATCTTCCTGTCTGAAGCTTACGTTTACAAAAGATGCTTAGCAGCCCCGTGTCCAACAGAAAGAACTGCTGGTACTAAGAGTTTTTTCATTCTCAGCGACTAGAGGGTGTCCTGTTACGGGTTTTTATGTTTTCACAAAAATCTGACGTGGTGCAACCAGCAATCCGAGGCACTTTGCTCTTCCTACTGTCAAAACCTCAGTTATTCTAAATAGGAGGTTGTTTGCTTTTTATTCACAAAATCTATTTTAGAAGGGAAGTATTTTTTATCTTCACAATGTGAATACTTCAGAGGTATCTTAGGATTTGTCAATTCACCTGACACTTGAAAAGTTTTTATTTGTCTGGAGGATCCCAGTCTCGCAACTTTGCTTGCTTTCCCTTCTGAATCTTAATGGCCTCTACAAACACAGTAACCTTCAAAGAAATCACTGTAGTTTTTGGCATTTGCTTCAATTTTGACAGAAGGCTCATACTCTGTCTTCGGCTGGAGAGCAAGGGAAACGTCAAGAAAAGTCCTTGAGAAGTAATGTGGATTAACTCTTTATTCACCAGATTGCTGGACTAGGCAGCAACCTGCATGATGGGTGAGGGCCTGGTGACCACATAGCTAAGCTAATCCCTAAGGAGAGAGGGGCTCATATAGCTAGTCCATATGGAAGGCCAGGATTGGGATGTACGATAAATAAAAACCAGTGACACCAGCATGAACTTGCCTTTGAACCAGTGATAAACTGGTCTCTAGATCCCTTTACATAATTACAAGGAGTAGGAAGGGTAAGTAAGACAATGGGTTTATAACCAAATACAGCCAAGTCCCTCATGTTATCTCTGCAGTCTTCCTGGCTCTGCTCCTTTGGCACTGACTACAAACTCCTCTCTGCTTCTCAAAGCCTTTTCCCCATATATAGATCAGTTGTCAACATTGACATGAAGGAGGAAATCACAACAGTTCTCAGTCAGGCTTTACCTCACAATGGAGATCTTTAAGAGAACAGTTTGAAGGAATCACTAGGACCAAATGTGGGAACATTCTCCCCAGTATTTTATAACAGAAGACCTGTAATGCTGGTTTCTTCTTCCCAGCTGGCCTCACGGGAAACTCAGGCCCCACTCAGGCAAAGTGGCTCCCCAGTGCTTGTGGGTTAGTCTTTTTTTTAAAAAAGATTTATTTATTTATACAAGCACTGGGTACAGTCAGAAGCGCGGGAGGGTGAGAGAATTCACCGGAGCCAGAACAGGGAGCAGAACAGGCAGACTGACAAAGTACACTGCTGAGGGAAGCAGTGGGCGTGGCAGGAGAGGTCTGTGTGCCATTTGGGACCCTCGCCGGCGGCCAGGGATGGAACCTGCACTGCAGAGGCGATGGGCAGCTTCGCAGCCCAGCGCTCAACCGCTGCGCCACCAGGGGAGGCCCTTGTGGGTTAGTCCTTTGCAGGCTGTCCTCAGAACAAGGGCCAAATGCCTGACTGTATACCTGAGCTTGGTGTTGATCTGCAGCGCTTTGGCGAGCATCTTTGCTCCCATGTCCCCCATTCCGTTCCCACTGATGTCCACTTTGGTCAGGGAGGTGTTGCTTCCCAGGGCATTGATTATGATGGTGACTTCAGTCTTGAGCTTTGAATCGGC